TTTTTTATTCAGAGTGCCCTTGTACTTTTTACATATCACAAATTAAGAACACTTAAATGGTAATACTGAATACTGGTTGAGGTAAGCTGACATTTAGAAATACTGTTAACCTATTTGCTAAGAATGTGGAAAATTTTCCTCAATTTGTTTAGACATATATCCACCTTGCCCCTCTTTCCAAGTTATTCAGCAATCTGGGGGAAAGGAAAACCGTTGGGGAAAATAACACTGTCTGCAATCAGCTGGATTTCCATTAGGTTTTGGCAAATAATCTGCAAGAATTTTAACTAATTCTGCACCCAAACCACAGCTCCAATACTTCCTTCTCTTAATGCTCTGTTCATATTCTATTTTTAATCCTGCTTTTCAGAATTTCCTACTATCTTCTCATTTTTGGTGCTCTGTGGAAACTCAATAACTATGTGCAGAATAGAATACATAATTTAGCTTAGCTATTGTTCCTTTGGAAAAATTTGGAAAAAATTATTTTCCCCATGCTCTGTTAAGAATATGCTCACTGCACAACTCTAAATAGATTTGTACACTCTTTGGCCTTTTTCTAAAGCTACTGGTACTTCTCAAAGTAGGATGCTGCTCAGTTGTGGATTTGAGCTGCTGTCCGCTCAGGCCCCCGATATCACCTTCCTCAATCCCACACTGTAGTGATTCAATGTTAATGGCAGATGAGGAAGGCACTACGTATGCCACCCCCCAGCACATAAATATTTGTTGCACCTAATACATAGCTCTCACTGTGACATAAAAAGGGAAGAGAAAATAGAAAACTCCAGTGAGCTAGAGATGTATAAATTACCGAGTGATAAGTTATAGCGCTAGCCTACACAATGAGGGAGAGAAGGTTAGCGGAGCCTCAATTAACAACTAATTTACACATATCCTCTTCATCTCGGAAAGAGAAAAATCATCGAGTTATTCTTGGGATGCTCAGGAAAAGATTAAAGTTAACGTCTACTATCTATTTTAAGATAAATTTTATATATGGATTTTGGGGTGGGACACACATTTCTGGACTTGAGAATGCTATATTTGGGCTTGGGATAAAAGCCCAGATTTCATCTGGAGGTAGCATATATGTAATCCAAATCCCCCCAAATCCTTTCTTCTCCAGTTTTTTTTTTGCCCCACTTACGAGAGAGATGTATTAGATATTTCAAAGCTGATATCTTCCAAATTCCTTTACAGCAGAGGTCTCGGCTATCCTAACCTTGACAGAATGAAATGACTACCCTGAAATGACTATCCTACAGCTGGCTGCAAAATAAGACCCTGCCATAAATAAATCCCTGATGCCTGAAAAGTAATTCATTCAGCAAAGGAAAGAGAAATGGTACAGGCACTACTTGGCCTGCTCTCCATTACAGCGATTACTTTAATAAATGCACTAAGTGTGGTTCTTAACAGTTCAGATAAAGATGGCTCAGCTGGTTATTGTCTCAAACCTCTCCCAACTCTGGTTACAGAACCTAGGTAAAGATTTCTGCCTCCTCAAAGCAACAGGTATCTGCAAAAGCATCTGGCTTGGGGAACTTAATATACAAAGAAAGGACAGGGACTAAAGACGAGCACTGCTATGCTTCTTCTAAAAATTTTTCAGTATCAGCAAAATACATGTAAGTGACTTACATCAGGTAAACGATCCACAGACTTAATCATGGAATTCTATGTGAGAGTACAAAATTCCATACTTATTATTTGGTCTAAGCTTGCATATCAAGAAAGCTTTACAATCTTTAAATAGAAGTTAAACTCAAACTAAGCAATGCTGAGCCTTAATCAAAACAATGGAAGAGTCAGTCAGAGAGAGAGAGATCCCCTCAGACAGACAGACACCTCCCTACCCCATCCCTGGAACTGATGTTGACACTGGAAATTAACTTAAAAATTTATGCTTGGTATGTTTTCAAATACCATGTCTACTCAGGCAAAGGAAACAAAAGAAAAAATAAACAAATGAGACTACATCAGACTAAAGAACTTCTGCAAGGCAAAGGAAACCATGAACAAAATGAAAAGACA